GGAAATGCACACGGATATTGAAAATTGATTAAATCTACAGATTGGAGAGGCAAAAAACTACCAGATTGGGAAAGGGAAGAGAAAGCGGATGAAAGATGCAGTTGATATTGTTAAATACTTAAATAAATATAACACATAAATTAATGTCTGAGCTTTTTCAATATTCATTTGAATAGCACTACTTGTAGCATATTTAAGATAGGCATCCGACCCTACGGTACCTGTAATTATCAGAGAGTAATTTTTCACATGTAAGTTAGTCCTGTCGTAATATAAGATTTCAAACATAATAAGAAAGTTTTTTGGAAACTATCTTCTCATTTATGGACTTTAATGATTTTGCAATTTGCTAGTATCCTAGGCCTTCGATTACAAAAAAATCGATTTCCTTTACGGTTCTTTTCTTTTCTGTTCTTCAAGTTTTGTTCTGTTTTGTTCTTTTCGGTCCTTTTCTGTTCTTTTCTCATCTTCGCTAGCCAAGATTTACGATCGAGGGGACTGGATCGTATCCCTTGATCGTAACCCTTTGCTAGCGACTGAGATGTTCTTTTCTATAAATCGTCACTCTATTCTGTAAGTCGTCGGACCCGGTCGAAGTATGATTTTTCATTTTCAGTAAAACAAGGGACTGATTATTTATTTTCACAATTATATATTAAAGACAGTCGGGACCAGGACCTATCCAGTATATCTTATTAGAATCCTTTGTAATAAATTCCATTTTCTATGTACCGTGATGATGTATCTGGAGTTATCTCTCTAGAATATTGTTTTACATACAAGTAATAGCTTTTCTAAAAAGCTTGCCGTTTTTATACCTTATCATTTTGAATGTTTTTTTTATTCGTAGTGTCATCCATTCATTATCAATATTTCTCTGCATATACATTGTATTGGGATAAAAAAAAAAGTGGAACATTGGAAAGGCCAATTATTAATTAATGTATTATTTGTAGGGTTACTTTTTTCTTTTTGTCCGTGGTGATTTTTTTACCCCTGGAAAGAGCTTAATTTCTAAATCACTTGCTTTGTTGCCTTTACTACTTCGGTAACCTTTTTAATGAATAAATTTATCAGCAGACATGCTATATATTTACTCTCTGGTAGTTTGTTTGTGTTGGAGAAAAGTGTGATCAATATCTTTCTATATTAATGGTCCCGATAAACCAACTCGCAAACGTTTTAGATCCCACTAAGTCTTTATAATACCGGAACTAATTGTCCCTATATCCTACTTGAACAGGTAACAGTAGTTTATAAGGGTAGCGTTGCATAGATCCTGCGAAAAAAAATTAAAGAGTAAATCGGTTTAAAGTTGGTTCTAAAAATAGTCGACGAAATGGCATGTTATGAAGTGAAGTGAATATGTGTGAGACTCTTTGATCATTACGTTCTGTCTTTATACATATATAGGTCTTCTTGTTATTTTATTTTTTGTTTTAGATTTGTATCAGTCGGATGAGTCAACCCCTTTTCAACTGGTTTATACAGTTAGTTCTTACATAATAGAATAGAAAGTATAGGGCGCGATCGGGTATCCATCCATCCATCAGTTCATGCATAACAAAAACACAAAAAGCAAAGAAACAGCGCTTTTATTGATGTATGTTGCGCTTTAACATCACTGTCTCAGGTAAGATGTCCCAGGTTAGGGGTGGAATGGGCGCCCGCAAACATGGTTAATCCCGCCAAGTTCTATGTGTGGCTGTTCCAAATTCACGAGCCTTGGTTTTCGTTTATAATTTTTATGTACATAATCAATGACATGCCTTTGGTTTTGTCGTTTGGTTATTTTTTACATTTGTCATGTCGGATCCTTTTATAGCTTGCAATGCGGTATGAGTTTTTCTCATTGTTAAATGCCGTACGGTGACGTATATTTGCTAACATCTACGTCATTTTGTCTCTACCACATCTTTTGATTTTTATGTTATAAATATCTGACTGGCTAATTTTCTGGACCATGGCAAAACATATTTAAACTAAAACTTTGGTTTTGAGCATTTGCCAGCACTATTCACATGCATTGTTCAAAGTTCAACTATATACCATTTTTTGTCAGAACGGTATAATGCAAACAATTACATGAAGCTGTATCATCATTGTTTTCTTAGATGTAAGCAAAAGGAGTTCGTTCCTGTTCATTGCCTTAAGATCTCTCAAATTAGTGTATTTTAAATTTGTTATTTAATGGATTTTGTGTTGATTGCCTGTCTATACTATCCTATAGACCCGAGATAAAAAAGAACACTAAAATTAATTGAAAATAAGTTATTTGTAGATACCTGTTTTCAGCATTTTTTTATGCTTTTAAATTTTATCAGTTAAAAGATACTTATCTTTAAAAGGGCATTAGCTGTCAAATCCATATTCACCGATTTGACTCAAATTCTCATATTTGATTTATAACATGCTAAAACGTATATCCAAATTATAAAATGTCTAAAATAAGCAATTTAGAATGCATGGGCTCGATAATATGTGTCAACATTTCGTTTGTATTTTAGTCAATACGCCATCTAATTAACCATCGAGGTGACCTCCGAAGACTTTCGATGGTCATATAACCCGATATTAACATAAATAGAGATATAAATAGAAAGCGAACTAGTGCAATTGGATTTTTCTAGGTCTGTTTGATTTCATTTTATAGGTTAGAAATATATATTAATCATCGTTTTTACCTGTATAAGAATTAGTTTTTGTGGATCGAATCAGTCAATCGAATGGTTTACCTTTGTTTAACTTTCAATGTTGACATTCTTTTTCCTTTTAATAACTGAACACGCCTAATTCATGCGTAACCCGCCATCTCTTAGACTCTAGCTAAGGGGTTAAATTGTAGGTCACATGAATACGGATTGAATGATGTCGAATTATTCACTTGCAAGTGAATAATTCATCAGTGGTGTTTTTTAGTTTATTTTGACAAAATTGAACCAAACTGGCTGCTAAAAGTGAATAATTATTTCACTATTTCACTTTCATTAATGATTGAAAAAAAGTCATATTTTATTTTTTGTTATATCTCGTAGCTAGTGTCCCTTTAATAAGTGTTAACTACAGAAAGAAGCATACGCGATCCTTCTTATACTTACATATTTTTATGAACGTAATATTGTAAAAGGCTCTGCACAATCACGATAGTGTGTTACTTAAAATGGTGTAAATTAGTTAAATCACTACGTGTGCATTTAAAACACCTTAAAACAAAATCGCTGTTTCGGCTATTTATAGATAAGTTATATAATAATAATAATACACACTTATTATTATTATATATCATTATTTTTCCTTTTAATAACTGAACACGCCTAATTCATGCGTAACCCGCCATCTCTTAGACTCTAGCTAAGGGGTTAAATTGAAGGTCACATATTATATATATATATTATCCTGTATAACGATACGCATGAGTGGTAACAGTAACTTTATTGGTGATTTGTCACTCAAGAACTGATCTAAAATACACTAACAAAGTATAAATACGAAAGTTAACATTATATTGCTATCTTATGCAAACATGACAAAGGCATAATTAGATAATACACACAGAAAAAGTCTCAATTAATTTGAATCTTTTTTTGTGTTTGACCTTGCGTCATTAAAATATTGATTCAACACTTCACTATTAACTTGATTAAACACTTCACAGTAATTTTCTTGACCTACTATCATTATTTTTCTCCGCCCTCACTTACGGATACTCTCACATATAACAGATGCACCCCAATATTAACCAATCGGACGATATGAAAGCCTTTATTTCATACGGAATTAGCTAATATTTACCAATGAGAATCCCTTAACAGATTTATTCCAATGTGACGTGTCTCGTCTGACTATTTTTTTTTGTTGTTTTTTTTTGTTTTTGTAGCAGCTCGATCAGTGTTTCTGTTGTTCCGTTGTTTTCCTCTTATAGTTAATGTGTTTCCTTCGGTTTTGGTTTGTGACTGACTCGGATTTGTTTCAATTAAATCGATTTATGACTATTGAAATTGAACAGCGGTATACTACAATTGCCTTTATTGCTTCGCATCACGGTGCGGAGCTATTAGTTTCAGTCGATATACACGCCATCTTGAAATAATTACTTATCACATATAGATTCTGATTGGTTGCTTTATGATGCGGCTGAGATACAGCAACAGCTATTGGTTTAAATGAGATTTGAATTACAGACTTTTCTCGTCTCAGGATAAGACATCAAATGCCGGAAAATTAACTATGTGTATTTCAGTTCCGATCAACTGTCATTAATTCATGTTCGTTTTATTATGCATATATTGCACACTGAAATTCAATATTGAAATATCAATTATTAATACGTGTTTATTTGCTTTGTTAATCTGCAATATGCACGATTTGTTTTGCTAAACAATGTTCCTATACAATGTTTACAAAAATGCATTTTCTGTATTTTATAACTTCTGCCAATCTAGGCACACCTCCAGAGTCGTGTCTATTTGTAAATGTTTTAATTTTCAATAAGTAAAGTGAACAAAATTTTAAAAGCGTGGGTGTATAACGCACACTCTTAAAGTAGAACAACATCATTTTCAATGAAACTAAATATTTATTTCTGTTTACAATTATATGTTATTAACATATCTAAACATTTATATATATCTAAATAAATCATAAACAGAACTAGCAATCAAAATCGCAACTGGCAAGTCAATGACCAGCAGAAAGAACTAGAAAACCACACTCCACAAACACACATTGAAAACTAAACACTGAACAGCCAGTTTAAAATTTCAGAAAAGTTCATCTTTTAATAATAATATATATACAAAAATTGATATTTTAAAAGTCTAAGACATCCATTTTATATCAATCAATATCTTAAAATAACACATTTCCAATACTAAATCAACATTCACATGCACACATATTACCTTAAATAAGGATAGAACGAAGCAGTCCACAGCTTTTTAGAAAGATCAAACTTGTGTTGGTATTTGGTGATATCCGCATACCGGAAGTAAGGTGGAAACGCTTTTACAGCCATTTGCAAGCGTGGAAAAGGACATTAAATTTACTCAATCTTCCTTTATTTGTGAACATTTTAAGTCAAGACCATGCTGTAGTGTTTTGAATATAACATGTTAAACACAGATAAAACAAACCTTCACTGGTAAGACCATGTGTCCATATAACAATATCAAAACTCAACAGAGCATTTTATCGTAGGGAGGGTAACGCATATTTTCATTGACATTATGAGTAATAAGTACCTCGGAAAGATAGTATAACACATGCCATTAATCAAATGTTGTAACATATGCTATTTCAGTTCTTATTGGTTTCTACGATGCTGAAAAGGGGAGACATATTTAAGGGGGAAAGAACGGTTATTTCAGCCATTTAGGTTAACATAGTTGATCATCTTGTGTAGAACAGAGACAACAATGAGGTTAATATAGGCTGGTAAATAAAAATGAATTCAGAGCTCCCGATAAGCTGCGTATTTGCGTGATCAAGAAAGGTAATTAGTTACTGCCCACTAGTGACACCAGTTTATATAAGTTGAGAAAAATACAAAACAGTCAGAAAGGTTGAAACAAACCAAACCCACATTAAAGAACAATTGCTTATCAGGGTATAAACCAAATATTAATCTTTATTTTTACCAAAGCCATAACAACTAGAGACATACAACATATAAACTACACAAAGTATACATAGCAGAAGGTAGTGTGAAACATATTACAACATGTTAGATCTTAATTTTTGTGCACGAAATATATAAATTTACCCAAATTACATAATTCTCTAAGATTATTAGAACTCATTAATTGTATATATTTATACATAGAAGGTTTTCTCCAATAATAAGGTTTGATAAAATAAGATCTAAGACCCTGATAAGTCGGACATTTTAAAATGAAATGCATCTCATCTTCAATGACATTTTTACAAAAACTACAGAGTCTATTTCTTCTTGGAATTGCAGAGTAACGTCCACATTCTATAGCTAAATCATGACTACTAAGTCTTATTTTGGTAATGCTTGTCTTATAAATAACTGGTATTGGTTTACATAAGTAATATTGTAAACAAAAATTTTGAACCATATGTCTATAACATTTAACTAAATTATTCAATTGGCTGTCAAAATCTTGCTTCAGACAATCAAACAGGCATTGTTTAATTATCAAGTAAAAAGTACTGGAGAGCTTACTATCAAAAAAATTAACCTTGATATACCAAATATCACCTAAACCTATAGTAAAAAGTACCGGAGAGCTTACTATCAAAAGAATAAACCTTGATTATACCAAATATCACCTAAACCTATACTACGCAACTCATTTTTAATAAAATACAACCAATTTGTCTTATTATTTGGAAATTTTTGTAAATCATCATATATATATATAAAAAACAGTAACAGTTTTTCAAAATACAGTTTGTGGTACATAACAGCTTAAACCAGTATTTAAAAATTCTACATTTTCTAGTGTGCAATAATGGCAATCTACCTAGCTCATATTACACCATGACATTACTGAAAGAGCTTTTCACTTTCATAATATTTTTACAATAGCCCAGATGTATCCTCTCTTTAGCTGGTGCCTTATGAACACCCCAAATTTCACAACCATGATATAGTACACTGTTAATATAAGTATCAAAAAGTGAAAGTAAAGTTCAAATCAAAATTCAAATAAATATCTTTTATATTTCTCCTTAAGGCAAAAACAGCTTTTCTACCCTGTTCTGATAGTTTCTGCTGTAACAGATTATATTTACCATTAAAATTTAACAAAATACCAAGATAACTAAACTTATCTACAACTTCTATTTCCTGGTTATTATAATACCATTTTTCATTGTCATGAATGTATTTTTCCACCCTTTCTAACAACAACAATTTTCGTTTTTGCTATATTAATACTAAGTGACCATTTAAAACAGCCATCGCATATAATGAAAGAAACATATTTAAGATGGATGAACATCTCAGGTTGATATGATTTCATTATAACATGCCTAAATTCAATTTCTTGAAGATGAAAAAACCAAATACATTAAGAAGATAGGTGGTGAAAACCCAATATGCTATTTGCTTAAGGGGTGAATTAGAATTAATAATGCAATCGAAAAAAATATTTCACTCAATTACATAAAAAATTGTGGGTAAAAACCCCAATGTGCGAATTCTTATCTGGAGCTCTGAATGATATAACAGTTGCATGTATGGTTTGAACTTGGTAACAACATTCATGATCCTCAGGGTGTGACTTTTCACACAATTTATCACAGGCACTTCTCTCTGAAAAAAAAATTACCTACTCTAATATAACACAATGTACTTAACTCACATATTTGAAAAATGTCACCCGCTCGCAAACTAACGTTAATTTTTATTCTGCCGTTGTCTATCTCACTGAAACTTGTCATGTCGTAAATTAACATTATATATTAAATTATCTACAAAATGGTGTATAAACATGCCTATTTCTATTGTCAAAATTATTACGGACAACATACTTTGAAAGCATGTTACAAATGATTCTGACAATAGAAATAGGCATGTTATACACCATTTTGTAGATAATTAAATGTAGATTTACAATATAACATGATAACAAGTTTCAGTGGGATAGACAACCGCAGAATCTAAATATAACAGAAGTAGGAGTGGGTGACATTTTTCAAATATGTGAGTTTTAAAGTACTTTGTGTTATATTAGAGTATATAGGTAAAAAAAATTCAGAGACTAGTGCCTATGCAATTTATCCTACAATAGACCTCAATTTTGTTGAAAAGACTGATATTTATGCAATTTAGTGTTGCTTGATTTGAATGATCACCTACATATATTATGAACTTATCAGTCTTTTAACCTACCCAAATGCAATAAAATATGCTCATTCAAGTGCCAACATTTATTGGTCCCCTACCGATGAAGTCGAAGGAGACTTTAGGTTTGCACTCCGTCCGTCTGTCCATCTGTCAGTCTGGCAAATCAGTTTTCCACACTTTTTTTCATCGTGCTTGAAGATATTGATTTGATATTTGGTATATTGTTTTATCATGACAAGTAACTGATCAAGTTCGAATTTTGTTCTGGTCTGATGATTTTGTGCAGAGTTATGGTCCTTGGACTTAAAAAATTCACTCAAATATTCAGTTTTCCGCACTTTTTTTCATCATGCTTGAAGATATTGATTTAATAATTGGTACATTGTTTTATCATGACAAGTAACTGATCAAGTTTGAATTTTGTTCCGGTCTGATGATTTTGTGCAGAGACTCTGAGTTATGGTCCTTGGACTTTAGAAAATTCACTCAAATAATCAGTTTTCCACACTTTTTTTCGTCATGCTTGAAGATATTGATTTGATAATTGGTATATAGTTTTATCATGACAAGTTACAGACCAAATTCGAATTTTGTTCCGGTCTGATGATTTTGTGCAGAGTTATGGTCCTTGGACTTAGAAAATTCACTAAAATATTCAGTTTTCCACACTTTTTTTCGTCATGCTTGAAGATATTGATTTGATAATTTGTATATAGTTTTATCATGACAAGTTACAGACCAAGTTCGAATTTTGTTCCGGTCTGATGATTTTGTGCAGAGTTATGGTCCTTGGACTTAGAAAATTCACTAAAATATTCAGTTTTCCGCACTTTTTTTTGTCATGCTTGAAGATATTGATTTAATAATTGGTACATTGTTTTATCATGACAAGTTCTGAATCTTTCGTTTCTGTTCTCTAACTTTAGTTTGCCTCAACCAAATTTTATGAAACTTATACACAATGCTTATTACCACAAAACACAGATCATGTTTGAATTTTGGTGGCGTCACTATAACCGTTCTAGAGTTATGCCCCTTTACAAATGGAAAAATTGCTGAATTTTTTGTTTCCGTTCTCTTACTTTAGTTTGCCTCAACCAAATGTTACGAAACTTATACACAATGCTTATTATCACATAATACAGATCAAGTTCAAAATTGGGTGGTGTCACTTTTACCATTCTTGAGTTATGCCCCTTTATAAACATATAAATTGCTGAATTTTTCGTTTCCATTCTCTCACTTTAGTTTGCCTCAACCAAATGTTATGACACTTATACACAATGCTTATTATCACATAATACAGATCAAGTTAAAAATCGGGTGGCGTCACTTTTTCCGTTCTTGGGTTATGCCCTTTATAAACATATAAATTGCTGAATTTTTTCATTTCCGTTCTCTAACTTTAGTTTGCCTCAACCAAATGTTATGAAACTTATACACAATGCTTATTACCACAAAATACAGGTCAAGTTTGAATTTTGGTAGTGTCACTTTTACTGTTCTAGAGTTATGCTCGTTTACAAATGGAAAAATTACTGAATTTTTCGTTTCTGTTCTCTAACTTAATTTAGCTTCAACCAAATGTTATGAGACTTATACACAATACTTATTACCACAAAACTCAGATCAAGTACAAATTTGGGTAGCGTCACTTTTACTGTTCTTTAGTTATGTCCATTTATAACTTTATATAATGTGCAAGCGGGGGCATCATCTGTGTCCCATGGACACATTCCCCATTTATTTCAATTTGCCTGTCATTTTTTACAGGATGAAGTAAGCATAAACTGCAATAATTTATAAATCAGGACATTACCTTGAAGTTGGTAATTTTAATAGAAAAGTAGTCAAATCAGGTAACATAAAAACCGTTGACCTCTGTCTTAGTGTTAGAGTACAAAATGTAGTTAATGAATATTTAATTACAGGAAAATTCTCAAGGGTATTTTAAAAGCTGTAGCATCCTAAAAGATATATTGACTTTTAGTTCAAGTTAAGGTTAAGTGTTCCAATTGCATAAGAGGGGGCCTCGGTGGCCAAGTGGTCTAAGTGGTTACTACTGTAATCACTAGCCAGTCAACACTGAGGTTGTGAGTTCGAACCCCACTCGTGCGGGTGCACTCAACTCCAATCTTAATTGACTAGGATTGTCAGTTTTCCTATGGAAGGTCGGTGGTTTTCCCTGGGCACTCGGCTTCCTCCACCAATAAAAACTGGCTGCCACAAAATAGCCCAAAAGCGGTGCTTAAAAGTGGCGTTAAAACACCAAAAATCAAAAATCAAATCAAATTGCATAAGTCCAGATTTTTAGTTTGAATATCATGAACAGCCTATATTGTTTACATGTGATAATTTTGAAACTATCCAGGAAGACCTCTTTCAAATGACCTTTGCCATATTTTCACAGTGTTTAATCACAATTCAAATAAAAATTTATAATCAGTTATAAAAGTACATATATTTAGAAATAAATGTCCATGTGCATATATCCCTTTTGTCACTGTTTTCTTGGCACTGTACAGCCTACAACAATGAGCAAAACCAATACTGTAAAAGGACTCCTGTCATGACAAAATGTGAAATAATTTAAGAGACAACCTACAGCTGATTTATAAAAAAAGAAAAAAAGAAAACAAATTAGGCAGACCATTAAAATGTAAAATCACAAAAATACTGAACTCTGAGGGAAATTCAAAAAGGAAAGTCCCTAATCAAATGGCAAAATCAAAGGCTCAAACATATCAAACGAATGGATAGTCATATTCCTGACTTGGTACAATGTAACCAATGCCTTCTTAGGACCCAGTACTATTTTGACTACCACTTTTCGGCCAACCATAATAGAAATTAAACTTTATTATAAGCATTGAATTTCAGTGAGGTGGTGTACTTTTGAACCTCTGTCTGTCCCCATGGTCCCTGGGCCCTCGGTCCCATGAAATTCTGCCACATTTTTTTCTCAGGAACTACAAATCAGAGCTTCCTGAAATTTGATATCAGTCTTCATGTGAACATAGAAATAAGAAGATGTGGTATGAGTGCCAATGAGACAACTCTCCATTCATGTTACAATGTGGAAAAAGTAAACAATTATAGGTTAAAGTATGGCCTTCAACACGGAACCTTGGCTCACACCGCACGCTCACGCTATACAGTGTGCTGCTGTTTCAGATTCATGGATTCTTGAATACTTATATATTTTAGCACATAATGGCCATGTATGAAGTTTTCTTTTGCATTTTTCTTTGGACCTACAAATAAGAGCTTCATGAAATTTGTTGTCAGGCTTCATGTAAATATGCTTTACCATGTGATATATTTTCATCGCTCCTCAACTTCCTGTTACCAAATTTTTAAAGCGGGGTATCATACATTATATGTGAGTAGTACATGCATTATAATTAATTACCATTGCTTTGAAAATCATTTAACTTTTTTCAAAAGTGCTTCACAAGTGTTACGAGTTAAGATTTTATACATTAATGAGGTCATGAATACTTTGTTCTCTATCACAAGTCAATTGACTGTTTGTTCGAGTTAATATTGCCCTTAAATGATGATTTTTTTGGAAAGATTGGAACTCCCCAACAACAAGTAGCACAGGTTAGCTACTAAATCTACAAAATGTATACACATTGAAATACCGGTATAGTTCCCTATAATTCTCATGTCTGTGTACACATGCACATATAAACTGTGAACAAAATTTGGTATATTTTTGGAGCAGTTCATTCAAGTAATGTATGTCTTTAAGGTGTGTTGATGTGCAGACTATTTTTGTCATTTTGATTAGGTAATTAGAGTAATGATTCAATACCTGTATGATTGACAACTGTCATGATCACCAAACAATCAGAGACAAGGTGGGGCCTTAATTACAATTCCCCACCTCCTTAAATGCCAATCATATTGACCACATTACTAATCAACCTCACTCTTACATAATTAAACAGACCTTTCATTATACATCTTAATACACTCTCAATACACAAATATTTGACCTCATAATTGAATATACAAAATGTATTCAAGTAAGGCCTATAATTTACTTGATAAATCTGCAATAATCATCTATAACTATTCAATAATTTAGGTTATATGTAGTACACTTATCAGTGATTGGCTTGAAACAGTTTGTAAAATTTTTAAACTCTTAATCAGACCAAACCAATATTTTTTTAGTTTATTCCCCATCAAATGTCTGTTAACAATTTTAGTAATTTGAATATAAGAAGTGTATATATATTTTTGCAATTAAGAATGAGTCACCATTTCAATAACATCAGTTTTTTTATTTGTTTATGTTGAAAAAGTACATTTCCAATGCCCTTTTCTGGAAAATATTTAAATTATAATACTTGATTTAAATACACTCTACAACTTTTAATCTTCAGTGTCATATAATCATGATAATTGTTTTCAAAATCAATAAGCAATTATCAGAGGAGAAAAATAGTTTACCTATGTTTCAAATTAAAAACCCCCCAAAACAACCTTTTGAGATGAATTTTTTGACACAATAAAAATAAATATCAAAATGGCAAAACTTTTGCCTGGTGAGAGATTTAGGCTCCTTTTATTTTTTTAGTAAGATAGGCATTATCAATTTCTGAAAATTTAGTTTTTACAGAAGTACATTAAAACAAACTTTTAAAAGATATGTAGAACAGGTACAACAAGCCACAACTAAAAGTAGATGAAGACAGTATCTCACAAGTAAAGTAGGTAAAAGTACACAGACTTAACAGTATCACACAAGTATGAAAAGTAAAAGAACACAGACATGACAGACTTGACAGTATCACACAAGCATAGCAAGTGAAAGTATAGATTTTTTGTACATGAAATTTTTCTACATTTGATATATATTTTTATTTACAGAATTATCCATTTAGAAAAAAATCTTAAAGGTGAAGGACAAAGGATATACAAGTCAGCAGAGAATTCAGGTAAGCAAAAATATGTTCAAAAAAGCCAAAACAAAATACATGGTAATTGTTACCTGACCCACATACATACGTATATACGTCGATGTCATATTTTTTGGGGGGTCAAATTGGATTGAAGGTCAAAGAGCATATGCCATCATTTGTCTCTGTATTTTTCTGTTGTCCTAGACTTTTTCAAAAAACCTTTTCCTCTAAAAAGCAGCAGGGCAATCTAGACAAAATTGTCAACGTAAATTCTTTTAAAGACTGTCTAGTTGAAGTCATGTCTCATATGTGAGCTAAAACATTGGCTGTTGTTGTTAAAAATAGACCATAGGGCCTGGTCAAATCATGTTCCTGCCAATATAAATTTCAAAATTAAACAGTTAAAAAAAATATAAAACTGCAAAATGATAAGTGGTTCATGTTCTACCATTCTTTCAAGTGATCTAAAACCACCAGAAGACTTGTTAAAGGATTATATCCTATAATGAATATTTTTACCCAATTTTTACATTTTTGCATATATGATTTTGAAATGTTTTATAGAAAAAGAGAAGCTGTAGACAACGAAATTGATCAATCGACAGCAAGAGAAGATCTACTAATAACAAGACCTTACTGAAATCTTCAATCTATTCCTCACCTGATTTATTGCCCTTAAAATGAATGGTAGTTTATTCAGATTTTTGCATTTTTAGCTGGATTTTCCGATGAAAAAAACAGTTATTAAATTGATGAAGTACAGCCAGCAGGTGGGTGGCTTCCAACAGTTTCCGTGTAATAAGTTTTGAACCATTCAACCAATGCTTTTCAAATTTAATATTTTGATAGAAATGACAAATTGGTGGTCATGTTTGATATTGACAATTTTCATTTTTACTGTTCAGGAGTTATGGTCCTTGATATACTGGAAAATAGCACTTTATGTCGTTTAGGTTCAATAACTAAGGAATTCTTCATCCAGTGGTTTTCAAATTATAATATGCTGGTACTGTTGACAAAAGGGAGGTCAAGTTTAATATTGACTATTTTCACTTTTACTGTTCAGGAGTTATGGTCCTTGATCTTTTGGAAAATGTTACATTATGTCGTTCTCGTGCAATTACTTGCGAACCACTCGACCAATCCTTTAGTATATATGTTATTACTGATGAAAAAATGGAACTCAGTTTGATATTGATGTTTTTTTACCTTTGCAGTCAGTTAGTTATGAATACATAATTGATAGATTGAAAAATGGCATTTTATATCTTTTCCGTGCAATTACTTATGTACCATTTAACCAATGCTATCAAAATTTTAATATGCTGTTACTGATGACGAAATGGTGGTCAAGTTTGAAATTGGCAACTTTCTTTTTTGTATTTCAGGAGTTGTGGTTTTTGATAGATTGGAAAATAGGCATAGAATGTTGCAGGTCATAAAAGCCTGAAATCACATTTCAAAATACAGAAAACTCAGTTTGCTGTCAATTTGACAGCTCATTCCTTGTTTGTTACTATCTTGAAAATTTTGATAGGTAAAGACTGAACAGAGAACATATGGTCACCAAGATAAAACTTACAAGTACATACATGTACTAGGTAACCAAAATTGTTGATGAACTTCTTATTGGAGTTTTGTCCATAAATGATGAATTTTTACCTTTTTTAGCTCACCTGGCCCAAAGGGCCAAGTGAGCTTTTCTCATCACTTGGCGTCCGTCGTCGTCCGTCGTCGTCAACTTTTACAAAAAAACTTTTCCTCTGAAACTACTTGGCCAAATTAAACCAAACTTGGCCACAATCATCATTAGGGTATCTTGTTAAAAAAATGTGTCCGGTGACCTGGCCAACCAACCAAGATGGCCGCCATGGCTAAAAATAGAACATAGGGGTAAAATGTAGATTTTGGCTTATATCTCTGAAACCAAAGCATTTAGAGCAAATCTGACATGGGTTAAAATTGTTTATCAGGTCAAGATCTATCTGCCCTGAAATTTTCAGATGAATCGGACAACCCGTTGTTGGGTTGCTGCCCCTGAATTGGTAATTTTAAGGAAATTTCGCCGTTTTTGGTTATTATCTTGAATATGATAATAGATAGAGATAAACTGTAAACAGCAATAATGTACAGCAAAGTAAGATCTACAAATAAGACAACATGACCAAAATTGTCAATTGACCCCTTAAGGAGTTATTGCCCTTTATAGTCAATTTTTTACAATTTTCATAAATTTTGTTAATTTTTGTGAATTTTTACAAAATATTTTCCACTGTAACTACTGGGCCAAGTTCATTATAGATAGAGATAATTGTAAGCAGCAAGAATGTTCAGTAAAGTAAGATCTACAAACACATCATCACCAAAACACAATTTTGTCATGAATCCATCTGTGTCCTTTGTTTAATATGCACATAGACCAAGGTGAGCGACACAGGCTCTTTAGAGCCTCTAGTTGCTTTCACTATGTATTTATCTTGAGAACCCATTAACTTGTAGTGAGAAGCTTGAAACAGCCATACATATCAGCAATGCAATACATTGTACCTACAATTGTAAAAGATCCCAATGCAAATTATTGGCAATAAATATGATTAAGGTCTTAAAGAATGCAAATTTGACTCCCTATATAGCATGTATAGGAGTTACTGCTGTAAAAACAGGGTTTTCACTCAGGATTTTTGAAGGTGAGTTGATGGACTCAGCAGTTTTGGCCAATATCCCAATGCGAGTCCAACTGTGAGAAGACGACATTTTATTATTATACAATTGACTATTTTGAATTTAATCCCTACATCATGTACATTCCCTTTGACAAAATGGACCAAGGAAATTAATTCAAATTTATATTATTTTAAAACTTTTGTTATAAGATGATGTTATCTGTGCTCAGTTGATACAACATTTCACAATCTTGATGCATATTTGGACTCACCAGTTTTGAAAATGATAATCAAGTTTAGACAGCAAAACAAGATCTATCAAAATGTCAAATGTGACTGAACCAATCACGATGAATGACTACTAATTGGAGTTATTTAATGTTAATGAAGATTCTTGACTAATTAAGCATTTTTGCCTATTGAAAATTTTAGTTGATCAGACAAAAACCATGAATTTTAAAAAATATCACCAATGCTTTTGTTTATTTCTTAACATGCTTAAAGGCTTAAATTTCTGTAGGTTCATTTTTGCATACATGTACATGTATATATGTAACTAAGGCATATACATGCCTTTAACATTGTACAACAGCAGGATTATCAACCTTAAGTGCCCTTTCATTAACAAAAAACCCTTTTGCCCTGGCTGAGATTCAAGCTTGGACTCTGTTACCTTACCTTGTTTCATGCATAAGATTTTTCAAATTTGATTAATCCATTTATTAACTAGATTTCTGAAGGTAAAATCGGTTATTGGTTTGGGGTGTACGGTGTGGGGGCAGGCATCCAGGCGGACGGGCAGGCCGGCACTGCCAAACAGTGTCTGTGCATTTACTCATGAACCGTTCAACCAAAGCTTTTCAAATTTTAATATGTTGTTACTGATGACAAAATGGAGGTCAAGTTCGATATTGACGATTTTCACTTTCATCATTTAGGAGTTATGGTGTCAGTAATTAGTTTAACTGAACTCATGAACCGTTGTACCAAAGCTTTTCAAATTTTAATATGTTGTTACTGATGAGAAAATAGTTGTCAAGTTCAATATTGAAGATTTTCAATTTCACTGTTCAGGAGTTATGGATCTTGAAAGATTGAATTTTGGCCTTTCCAGTCGTGTCTGTGCTTTAACTCATGAACCGTTCAACCAAAGCTTTTCAAATTTTAATATGTTGTTACTGATGAAAAAATGGAGGTCAAGTTCCATACAGTCGATTTTCACTTTCCCCGTTGAGGAGTTATGGTTCTTGAAAGATTGAAAAATGGTCCTTCCATTTGTGTCCGTGCTTTTACTCATGAACCATTCAAGCAAAGCTTATCAAATTTTAATATGTTGTCACTGATGGCAAAATGGAGGTCAAGAACAATATTAATGATTGTCACTTTTACCGTTCAGGAGTTATGGTCCTTGTGATATTGATAAATGCCAGGACACAAATAAATGTTAAAAAATCCGGTTTGCTGTCGCTCTGACAGCCTCTTGTATAACTATTGCAACCAGGCCATTTGACTGCCTGTTGTTATAATGGTGATAAGATTTTAGTTTGTTTTTTGTGTCATTTTGTAAGAAAACCACATTTGTTGTTTCACAGATTTTTGCCTATATTGTATATGTTTATTTATGAAATAATATCTCAGGATTGAATATAGAATTTAAGATGTAATCAGTAGTGATATATATATTAATAACTCAACTTGGGTTCTTTTTCAGAATAAGAAATATTTATGGAGGAAAACCAGCAGAAGTCAATAGGTCAAAAGAAGGAATTCCATGATGTCTACAAGGATTTTTTAGACGCTAAAATTAATGTTCGAAAATTAACTTCAAATGAAATTGTAAAGCATACCCAAGGGAAACGCTATTCTGATGGAGAAACTGTAGATGTACACAAGAGTATTATTGAAATGCAAAATCAGACTAAAAAACTTGATCCGTTCCCTAACACAATAAAGTCAGAATCTGATGATAACATACAAGATATCGCACCAAAACTCTATTCAGTGAGAACACAAGCAGAAAGCAAAAATCCATTAGAATCATGTCAAACAAGAAGGAGTGGAAGAAAAATAGTTCCTTCTGCAAAAGTTTTAGAGGCATCTGGGCAGTCTGGAAAAATGGCAAAATCTCTGGATAAAAATGAAAGCAGTGAAAAAGAATCACGTAAGATGGCTACACAGAAAGGACAGAAACAGACCTGTACTGATAATTTGACACATGATCTTGTTCCTCCAGAAAAACTAATTGGAACAACAAAACACATTAGTAATAATGATAAAAAGCACTCAAGCCCTATAAATGATGGCAAAGGAAAAGGAAAACAGAAGAAGGTAACAACACCATCACATACAAATGAAAAAGAGAAGACAATTTTGACCGGTAAAACTAAAAATGTTGAAAAAGAGGAAAATTCAGGGTCTACTGCAAAAAGAATTAAGCTTCAAGTTAGTAAAACAGAGGTAACAAAACAGCCTGAAACAACACCTATACGTACAAGTGGCAGGAAGAAAGTTTGTTCGGCAAAAATGAAAATGGCAATAAGCTCTGAAGGAACAGATTTGCAAATGAAACGTTTCCTTCAAAAACGTGATACAGAGCCAGAAAGTGGTAATTTAATTGAGAAAACTTGTGATATGGAAGTGGTAGAAAATTCTAAAAAGAAACAACAAAAAAGAGCAACTCGCTCTGCTAGACAAAAACAACAGGAAAACACAATTGATCCTACAAGCAATGAAAAACCGGGAAGTTCAACAAATGATACTAAACATAAACAACAAGAAACTACATCTGCTCATACCATGCCAAATAAAGTAGGAAATACAACTGAATGTACTGTACCAAAACGACAACTTTCAACTAGGAGAAAAAAAATAGAGGATACATCCAAACAGCAAGAAAGTATAACTGATTACACTGCTCAAAAACCTGTGAAAAGTACATCTGGTTATATAAGCCCAAAAAATGAAGAATGCAAATCTGTCGATTCTAACCCAAAACAACAAGGAAGTCCAGCTGACACTTTTACACAAGACAAACTCAAAAATAAGAGTGATAATGATGAATTAAGCACCGAATGTGCAAGTCAAAATGATTGTGATTATGATGAATTAAGCACAGAAAGTGTTAGTCAAAAACTATCTTTTACCACACTTGAAAAAGATGTTGCTGAAAATAAGAAAACAATTCTTGAAAAGCTCAACATGATCATGAATGAAAAAAGAAACAAATTCCTTGCTCTGCAGCGTAAATTCAAAGTAGCTAGACAGACAGTACTTAAAGCTAACAGCAAAGGAAAGGATGTTGAGAAAATAAAATGCTGTGTTTGTAAGAAATCATTTAAGTTCGGGAACTATATGTGCGAACATGGGCGATCTTTTATTTATCATCATGCATCTGTGTGTGAAGAATGTGGAAGAATATTTCGAAATTCTACACTTCTGAAACGTCATGTTCAGCGAATTCACTATGAAAAATCAATGAAATGTAAAACTTGTGGCATCATGTTTGGATTGGATGGTGATCTTAGAAGACATATGGAGCGAGTTCATAAAATCAAAGTGTCTAAACATCAAAATGATGCTGAACTTAAGAAAACATATGATCATGACTACATAATGGGGGAGGATACAGAAAAAGATTTACAAGAGAAGAAATATCTATCAATAGATAGGTCAGAATCAAAATCATTTTATAGCTCAATTCCAGCAGACTATGTTATCAAAAGTGGAGACAAGTGTATTTGTAAAAAATGTGGTATGGTTTTCTCATCAGTGTTAAATTTAAACTATCATGCCTACAGGAAACATATAAATGAGAAGAAATTTTTTTGTCAGGACTGTAACAAAGGATTTACATTATCAAAAGACTTAAAAAGTCACACTCAGATTTGTCATTCACAAAATCCTCAACAATGCAGCATTTGCTGCAAAAAAATTATAACAAAACGTGGTTTAAGAGATCACATGGAAAGATATCACAAGGATTCTTCAATTTTTGCGATGCGATATCAGTGCTATTTATGTGAAAAAAGGTTTGGATATACAAAGGAACTTCAGGATCACATAAATGTGTGCCACACTGCAAAAAATGATTGTTATTTTTGTGGCCAAAATTTGGCCACTTCACGGGGCTTGAGAAAACATATGGAAAGAATGCATGGAATTGAAGAAACCATGCATGCAGATGAATTTGTTTCATTTGAAATTAAGAGCCTTGAAGTGAAGAAGAATTTTTTAGCTCAGGAAATAAAGCCAGAAGAAGCTATCACATTTATTGAAGAGAATTTGGGAAATTCACCCATAAAGGAGAGTTCCTTCAGAAACAAAGAAGAAAAGGAGAGTTGGCAAATCAGCAGCGAAATTGAAGTAAAACCATCTAGTAGACCAAAAAGTAGAAAAAGACATCAAAAACAAAGTGTTAATGAAACTGAAATGAAACCATCTAGCAGCCAGAAAAGTGGAAAAAGACAAAGAATACAAAAAATTAATGATCCTTCAGGAAATTCAGGTGGTTTTTATATTCGTGAACACTGTGGGGCTACAAAATGCAAAGCATCAGAGAAACATGTTAAAGAGGCACATCAGTTTCCAGCTTTAAACTGCAACTTCTGTGGTATTCTCTTCTATTCAAGACAGAAAGCAATTTTCCATAGGAAGCAGTTTCACCCAACCATGGGTCGGAACGCATTTTGTTTCACAGAGGTAACAACTAAACCTAACATGACAAGTTCCACTGCCAATATACCATTTCAAGGAGAGATAAATGAAAACCAGGATAAATGTAAATCAGTTGAAGCTTTGGAAGTAGATACTAGAGAATCTACTCCTCCAAAAGTTGTAGCCGTGGCAGTTCGCTCACCTGATGAACTGAAAAATCAGAATGGAAATTTTAAAATGATTAATTTTGGAGATGATAAATTGGACAAATTTTTGGAGTGTGACAAGCAAGATGACACGGTACTTATAGCAAGGAAATATCTTTCACCAGTGAAAAAAGTTGTAGCAGGAGAACCGTCAGAGGAAAAAAAGATGAATCCTACTCATACTAAACTATTTTCTATATTAAGTAAAGGGAAATTAAAGCAAGATATGGATAAAGTGATTAAAAAAGAAAATGCAAAGCTTCATGAAGAAGCTCTTTTGAAGGAAAATGAAGAAAAAGGAAAAATTGAATTATTGCATAGTGCAGGTGTTACTGAACAAGATGCTTTGTTACTCCACCATTTTGGAAGTGTAAACAGAAATTTTGAAAAAGATTCAGACCAGAGCCCTTTGAAAGATTCAGAAGTCTCATCAGAACTTTTAAAGGAGGCTAATTTACCTGGGGAGGACCTTTTATATCAGGTAGAAGAGTTGGCAGAAGAAGACTCAAAACTAATCAACACTATCAATGCCTCTTTAGTAGCAAAAGAAGTGGTTATTAAAGCAGAGAGTACTACCAATGATAAAATAGTGAAAATGACAAGAGAAGATATTCTTAAAAGGTTTGACGAAACTAATACATTTGAAAATAGGAAAGTCACTGGACAAATTAATTCTGGTAAAGATGTGGTAATAATGAAAAAACATGTAGTTATTCAGACTGATAAAAAATGTACATTGTCTGTTAAAACAGATGGCCAAGGTAATAAATCCATAATTACCGCAGCCCCAGAATCGACAAATGCTACACAAAATGATGTGGAGATATCATATAAAAACTCAACTTACTTTAAAGAAGAAGACTCATTAGACAACAATGAAAATGATCATCAAGATAAAGATGAGAAGAATTTAGTAAAAATACATCAGATTATTAATGTTCCGAAAAAACTTGTTCCACCATTTCAAGCAAAAATAAATTTACCCAAACCTGATCAAGAAGTACACAATACTGTTGTATATCTACCAAAAAATATCAAATCAGTGGACATGACAGTTGCTAACATGGATAACGATGATGAAGATGTATATATTCTGTTTGTTATGTAACATTTTCTTATTATACATTTGTATATTTATGTGTCTGCCATATAGAAGTCTAACATGTCTTAGGTAATTTATTTGTAATGGGGATTTTCATTGAAAAAATACATATTTTAACATTTCATATGTACCTGCTAAAATATTCTGTACAATCTCCGATTGAAGCTCCCTTTTATCTGAAAACTATTTTAACAGGCTTAATTTTTCATTTGCTTTAGAATTTGATTAACCATACTAATAATGTTTTAAATATTTGCCTTGTCAGTCCTTGTTTTTACAGTCATTAATAAGATTTTCCTCCATTTGACAGCTGAAAGTGAGAGTCCAATCAAGTATTGACATTAGCAAGTATAAAAATTCATTCAATAAAGATGTTCCTTAAACATACATTTATAAAGGTAACCATTGTGAGCCATTCTCTAATACAGTCAGATATTACAGTCCAACTTTTTTTTGGTACTGGTGAATAATTTAGAGGTAGAGTTATCCCCTAAGCATTTTTAGCTATTCTGATTTATTTAGTTTTGTAAGTATATAAAAATGTCCTTTTTTTTAATTAATTAACATAGCCATGATTGTATAGTGTGTCGAATGAACTTTAGTTGACAGGTGCCTTAACTGCTCATAACTCATAAAATTTGAATTTGATTGACAATGAAAATCACATGTGTCTCAATCAGGACAACATTTTCATTTTCACTCATGCTATTTTTCAGATTTTAATGTAAAAAAAACCAATATTTTGCATAATTTTACTGAATTTTCTGTCGTTTTTATTTTGATTGCTGAGTAACCCATGATGATATACTGTATATCTGGTTTTTTTCGCTTGTATTCAATTTTTGCTTTGTTCGCGGTAGCTAAAGAAACGCGAAAATTTGACCCAAGTGAATTTCCCTGCTTATTCCAAGATGTATTAAAATTTAAAAGTTTTAGACATAATACTGTTAATTATGGAGTCTTGTGTTGTTCAACAGATCACAAGAATGAGCATACTTAATTAAAATCTTTGTTTTCATAATTAAATTGGCTTAACATACGTTTCAAACCTTTTGACAACACAGCAATCAGATGCTTATTAGTGGCGAGCTTTTGTATAGATTGGTGTCGTAACCCAAGCAATTGCCATTTAATGTAAAAATATAAAAAAATTAATCACTTTTACACGGATATTTGTATATCTGTATTAATCGAAACCTTCAATTTTTAGCATGTCTCAATGTGCATAATTTACGTACCTTAAAATTTCTCTGAATTGTGTACTTTCGTTTGGTTTACTCGTATATATTTGTGATGATTACCTATCAGTCAATCAATTTTGTGTTACATTCATCTTTAACATTGCGATATAGTTATATTTTCGCGTGTGTTTTCCCATTCAGCGAAAATTATACACAGTGAAAATTTACCCTGCCCATTTTGTCATGAAATTGCGAAAAAAAACGATATACGGTATATATTATTAACCAAAACTACAATTTTCTAACAAAGTACCTATATTCAACATATGATTTAGTAAATAATTTGACTTCAAAGAGCCCAAGCATCACCCAAAATAATTTGTTTGTAGTGAATAGATACATAATCTATGCATATTGTTTCAATATCGTGCAGTACAACAGTTGTGTTCTTTAAATATTAATTATTATGATCTTTAAGTCAAATAGTCAGGAATTTGCATTATTTCGTCATTTCACTGATTTAAGATCAAAGATCATTTATTTTCTATCATTAAAACGGACATTTATGTATCAACAACATATAGTTTTTTAAGAAAAATCTATGGATTCGAAATTGGAGATTTGATGATTTTAAGACAAATTTAAGAACGTTTTTCGTTGATTTTATGTGCTTTCTATACACATGTTCACCTATTTTGAAAGATTTCAATCAGTAATATTTCAGACAATAAAAAAGATAAATGCATTATCTTTCATTTTCAGTTGTAGTTCAACGAGCCAAAGTTGTATGAAAATTATTATCAAAATCTGTGACATAGCCCTTTTACTGTAACTTGACCTTTAATGCCATTAGAATGTACAGTTTAAACCAAAACTGCCTTTTTTTTTTTATCAAAGTACTTATAGATTTAACATTGGATTCTGAAAGTAAGCAATAATTTAAAACATACTTGATTTTAGGTGCCAATTTGGCCCTTAATTGCACCTTCCATTTTACACTATTTTTCACAAGGAAGATGAAAAATGAAAAAAACAACCTGAAGTAATTATTTTTTTTACAGTTGCAAGCAAATTTATTGAAGTTAAATCCTTATTACATGTAATATGTATGATATACTAATTGTGTGCTCAGTCATTTATTAGAAAAATTATTCAATATTCGTCTTGTATCTCAAAGTTTACTCTGAATTTATTATTAAGTAAGCACAATCTTCATACGTATTAAACTATCATTGTTCTCAATTTGATGGCACATGATATGATACACATTTTGTTGTTTGTTTTATACAATTGTTTGATTATACAAGTTGATTTATAATACATATATAAGTAAGCAATGAATGTGGTTGTTAAATTTGATAGATGCTTTTTGTGCTTCTTTGTTAAATGTTTGTTTGTTTTGAGATTGTGACACAGTGATGACTGCTGTACCCATATTTTGACAATGTTTCCTATTATGTCTGTTTTGTTCACGCATCATTGTAAATATAATGGAATTCGATGCGAATGTCATACAAGTGAGAGTTTAGAGCTATAAAACCAGGTTCAATCCACCATTTTCTACTTTTGAAAATGCCTGTACCAAGTCAGGAATATGACAGTTGTTGTCCATTCGTTTGATGTGTTTTATCATTTGATTTTGCCATTTGATTAGGGACTTTCCGTTTTGAATATTCCTCGGAGTTCAGTATTTTTGTGATTTTACTTTTTGATCTGCTGTTATCTTAGTTTCATTTATCAACATCCAATACTACCTTTGTTATATCATAATTTGTACTAAATGTACTAAAATCAGCAGAAAATGTTCTTGACAGACCTCTAGATATTATTGTTATTTCATACTTTGTTTGATTCATGTCTTAAATTGAATAAAGTTTTCATACTTGTTCAGGTCATTTAGAAACAAAGCCTTTCAACTCTTTTGAGATACCTTTTGCACAGTTTTTTATACGACCGCAAAAAAATTTTTGGGATCGTATAATGGTATGATGTCGTCGTCGTCTGCATCGTCGTCGTCGTCCGAAGACACATTGGTTTCCGGACAATTACTTTAGTTTAAGTGAATGGATCTCTATGAAATTTTTTAAGAAGGTTCAATACCACAAAAGGAAGGTTGGGATTGATTTTGGGGATGATGGTCCCAACTGTTTAGCAATTAAGGGCCCAAAAAGGGGCCCAAAAAGGGGCCAAAAACAAGCATCTTTCTAGTTTCAGGATAATAACTTGTGTATAAGTATTTCCATTGCTCTGAAATTGTACCACAATGTAGAAGGTTGGGATTCATTTTAGGGGTTATGGGGCCAAAAAGGGACCAAAAACAAGCATTTTTTTAGTTTCCAGACTATAACTTGTGTGTAAGTGTATGGAGCTCTCTGAAATTGTACTACAAGGTTTCATACTTCAAAGGGAAGGCTGGGATTGAGTTTTGGGGTTATTGCTCCAAGGGGAGTTTCAAAAAGTTGTGGTGGGGGGGTGGGAATTTTTTTAAGGGATTCATATTTTTTTTTCAAAATTTTTAAAATTTCAAATTTTTGAAAAGTTTCAAGAAGAAATCTTCAATTGCACAGTATTGCGCAATGGATTTATAAGATCTTTGACCACATTAATTTTTTGTCAGAAACCTAAATTATCCAAAAATTGATCACAATCCAAATTCAGACAGTATCAAGCTTGAATATTGTGTCCAAATTTGTCCCAACTGTTCAGGGTGCGACCTCTGCGGTCGTATCAGGCTGCGCTCAGCGAAGCATTTTATTTTTCAAATCCTCTGTAATAGGAAAGAGAACGGAAAAAGGGAATGTGTCAAAGAAGACAACCCCACCAAAGAACAGAAAACAGCCTAAGGCCACCAACGGGTTTTCAACGCATTGAGAAAATCCTGCACCCGAAGGCGGGCTTTAGCTGGCCCTTAAACAATTATGTATAGTAGATTAGCCAAATGTACGCCACACTAAACTCCAAAACATACAAATGAACCAAAAATGAAAAAAAAAACAACACAAGACTAACAAAGGCTAAAGGTTCCTGACTTGGGACAGGCGCAAAAATGCGGCGGGGTTTAACATATTTTGTGAGATCTCAACCCTCTTCTATACCTCTAGCCAATGTGGAATAAACAAACACACACCAAAACGCATAGTAAAACTCAGTTTAAAAGAAGTCCGAATCCGATGTAAAAATAGGTAACAGTAGAAACTAAGCAAAATGACATAAATTAAGAAAACTGACACGACACCTTCAGACTTCAATTAAACTGCTTGAAAGATTATGTCTTCGTCATATGAAAATCAATATTATTTCCAAAAACGCCATCTTTAATGACTTGACAACAGTATATCTGGCATATTCTTCAACTGCATCCATCTGTAACCTGAAGTTCTTTTTCCAGTTGATGGGCTTGGGAATTCTATATTTTGTTTCCTTGGCTAATTAACAACTCTCATAGTTGTTCATTTGTTACGGTGCCAAGCTCGCCAGTAATAACATGACCAGTTGGACTCTAAATGTATTTTGACGATGCTCATGAGCAATCCGGAGGTTTGAATTTCACATCTTTGAGGTTAAAGGCCTCTAAAACCCTCTTGTGGTTGAAAATCTTGGATGCAATAGCCTTGTGTAAGTATATGAAATTACAGGTGTAGCTTTATTTTTGAAGTAATCAGGTATAGTTTTTTGTATAGATTTCTGATGGAAAATATTGCTATTATTGATAGCATCTAAACCTTTATTGGCGAATTCTACTTTCTTCCTCATCTTTGGAAATAGTGGATACGGGTTTGAATAGACTATGGTTAGCAATGTCCAACGATTATTGCAAGTAATCTATACAAAATAGAATAAGAATCAATAACGGAAGTATTTTGGGCCTCTTGAAATAGTAAATAAAGTTTAGATAATGGAATAGAGTATAATTTAGTTCTGATATCAATGGTGAATTCCTTAAAGGTTTTTGAACAGACGATAACAGACTATTAATTGTCACGGTGTGAACAGCAGGTGGTGTATAATTTCTGTGACCATGACTTCTATTTCGCCGAGAAGAAGTGTTAAATAATTGTAATGTATTGACAGTACTGCACTTGAGACTAGACAATATACCTACACCATCAATTTTGTCATTGCATCCATAGAGAATGGCTGTTCCCAACTCTCTAATCCAAAAGTCTTGTCTTTGTAACCGATATGGTGTGCTCAGTATTGGGTCATTTGTTGAATGATAAACTTAGTAAAAGTTTTGACAAGTTTGTGATATCGAAAACCTTGTGTAATAATTTTTCAGCAATCCAAAGATTTCTTGAGTTAAAATCAAATACGTTGTTACATACACGAGGGAATCGAACAAGTTGAGGTGTATAAACATACGGTTGTACTAAGGGAACGTCACCATCAAAAAACATAATTAACAATAGTAAATGAAAAATCATCTCTTTTATTGTTATTTTTAGTATTAATTTTCCCGTTAGAGATACAGATATCAAGATTCAGGAAAGTGCAGTTCTTTTGTAGTATTAGCTTTATTTAAATTTAGTTCAAAAGGATAATTGTCTTTAGTGCACATTCTGAAGTCGTCATTATTGAGAGCTAAAATATCATCCAAATATATAAAAGTGCTATTACATTTCTGTATCAGATGTTGTTTCCATGGGTCTTCGCTGATTTTAGGCATACATTGTGATTCGTAACAATATAGAAACAGGTCCGCAATAAGTGGTGCACAGTAAGTCCCGATTGAAATTCAAATATACGGAATCTCTATAGCGAACACGTAAAAATGCAAGTGCAGTTATCATATCAAATCAGGTCCAATTGACATATTCCTTGTGTTTGTTGCTACTAAAAAATTATATAAAAGAGTTTGAACATTTATATTCACATTCAGACTTTGAAATGCCCATTTAATTAGGTATGTGATCTTAATGTGCTTCATTGACTAGTACTTTTTATTCAAATATTTTCGTGTTACTCAATCTTTCTGTTGCGAATCCAGGGGTGGGGGGTTCCGGGGGTCAATGCATTTGAATGGGGACATATAGTTGGACCCCCCCCCCTTTTATCCTGGGTTAGGAACCCCCTTTTATAAATGGCTGGATCCGCCCCTGTCTAGTTTTCTGTGCAGTGTTTTGTTGACTGTTTTTGTCTATTTGTCGTTTTTCCTAATGCCGATATGGCCATGTTATTGTCTGTTATTATTCGACTTATGGTTCCAAATTTTATGAGTACTAGACCATAGATATTTCAACAGCTCAATTAACATAATTTCATATTTGAGTTCAAAACAGTGTATGTGGTTCCAATTCTTTATTCATGCTATTGACCTGAATTACTTTTATTCTATTCTGATGTGAAGTTTTTACGTATACGTGTTTATAAATATTCACTTAAATGTAGTTAATACATTTATGATACACCATTAATATTATGTTAACATACTTGTTTTTTAATGAACGCATGAAGTGACTGAACTCTTCATAATTGTTAAAAGTACATATCTTTCATATTAAACACCAGTGATATGATCTAAGCAATTCAGATATATTTTCTTTTCGTTCTGGTGCATAGCAAACTGACATATCTATATGTGGAAATATGTAGTTACTTTTTGATAATGTAACTTTTTTTTGTTATGCTAACATATTTTTGAATCTATGTCAAAAATGATGGAAATGTAAAATATGATATGAGTGCTTTATCTGATGAGTCTCTTGTAGACGAAATACGCGTCTGGCGTACAAAAGTTTAATCCTGGAATATATGAAGAGTTTAAATACCACAGTTTCAAAGTGGAGTGAGTACTGTTTAATCCCAAGTATGTCCGTCCGTCCCTTGAAATTTCTGTTGCACTATTCCGTGGAACTATAAATCGGAGCTTCTTGAAATTTGGTATCAGGCTTCATTTTAGCATGCTATATTGTGTGATGCGTTTTCACATTCATGGCTCATTAACTTCATGTTTACCTAATACTTATGTGAATTGAAAAGAAATGAACCACATAAGCTTCTTACAGAGTGAGACTTATCTGTCAAAGAATTCTCTCTATATGAAATAGGTCCATGAATTGCAAATTTGTAACATGTTTTTAATGAGACGATAGAAAAAAAGGCAATTTAAAACTAAGTATAGAGAAAAACATTTTATCATTTTAAATTGAAATCACCTCATTTGTCGTATGTGTGCAATCGTCCGTTACTACAAATCAGGGATGGGGTAATCGTAATCTTTATCGTAATCCATTGTAATTGATTACATTTTTTCAAGTTATCGACAGTTATCTGTAATCGACATAATTTTCGATTACTTGTAATAGTAATTTAATCGATTACAGCAAAAAATATGATGTAATCATCGATTACTTTTCGATTACATTTCAATTATTTTATAAAAATAGTTTGCCGAAATGTAACCTAGTTTAAATGAAAATAGACAACTGCATGCATTTATCAGTTTATAGTACAGATAAAATAGAAACTGTATTAATATTACTTGAGAGTTTATCAAATATCTTATTCAGATCTGTTGTCCAAAGCTGCATTATGATTAACAGATATAACAAATTTAACTGTATTTCCAGCTTTTGAAACTCATGACTTTCATTGCTTGTCAATAAATTAAGACCTTTTATATTAAAAATAAGAAAATGGAATAAAAATAAGAAAATAATCCTAAGTTAAGTTCTGTACTACATTGCAGTAGTAAGCTTATTTGTAATAATATTCCTTTAAGCATAATTTTCAATAAAGGTAGAATTTTAGCTTAGAATAGATAAACTTTTCACTGTTGATTCGTCATAATGTGATGATATAAAAATGAAGAAAGTTTACAAAATCCTTTTCACAATGAACCAATGTATTGAAATTCTTGTTCGGTAATAGATACATAGACTTCTCTT